ATTTCAGACTTCAGGACCACCTCTTAAAAGTCAGAAGTGAAATCAGACTTCAGATTTCAGCACCTCTTAAAAAACAAACTACACCTTAATGTGAGAAGTGTAAAAAGAGATCTCCATCATTTAATGCATATTAGGATAAGAGGCACATAAATGAGATATACTTAGATGCACTCGATCAATCCACGTATCAAGCTTGATTCATGGGTAGGTTTGAGATTAAAGGTGATTAAAGGTTTAGATCTTTTCTCACGCTTCTCACCTTAACTCTACTTCTCATACGATCATTTGCCTTACATAAAGTTTGTAACTTTTTTTGATAATCCTAGATATAAGAATGAGATTATTTATTTGAAGACACGATAGAAATAAACCTCAAACAAAATATATGATGGCGAAGATTGTATAAAAACGAAAGTTATAATGAGAAGCGTAAAAAAGTATCTAAACATTTGATATTTTTAATCTCATGTTCATTCATAAATTGTGCTTTAGAAATGAACTGATTACGTGCATCTCGGTACACCTCATTAGATTTGACATTCAATTAGGATTGATCCAAAGGTGAAGATCTCTTCTTATACTTTTCAATATAACTTCTATTCTCACAAAAATCTAACCGAAATATTGATTAAAATAAATATTATATTTTTTTCAATTTCATTGTTCAATTAAATATTTTATTATACTTTAAATATTTTATTAATAGAATTCAATAATTATCTTAGTATTTATATTGTTATTAATTATTTTCAAATTTAAAACTTCTTGTGAGGATGGCTATTAAGGGGTGTTTGAGATTGCTTATTTGAAACAACTTATGTTTTTTTTATAAAAATGCTTGTCAATTTATTATAAGTTAGTAAGGTTTAACTTCTTCAAAAACTTATTATTACCGGTTTGGCACCGGTATAAACTGTTTATCCAAACACTCAAAAGTGTTTACTACCGGTGCCACACCGGAATAAGTCAATAAATTGTTTTTATAAGCAATCCTAAACACCCTTAAAAACTGAAAAAAAAATCACTAAAAAATGAATTTAGTTACTGAAATGACTATTTTTGTAATTTTCCCCCTTTCCCCACCTTAATCTTTACCTTTTTTGTTTTTTTTAATCTTTTATCCTTTTCTTCTTTTTATTTGTTTATTTATATTTTGTTCTTTTTTTCTTCTTCTATTTATTTGTATTATATTTTAATTAATATGAATTATTGA